CGGGGGGGGGAGGGGACCCCAAAGGGGGCTCTGAGCGGCCGAGGGCGCCCCCTGGCGCTGGGGGTGATGTTGAGAGTGCGCATGCGCCGGATCGATGGGTCCTTCGGCTCCCTTCGGTATTTTCCGGCCCATTGCATCATCATCGGCTCTTTCCGTTCTCACTCGGCCCTTTCCGACCACTTCAGCCCTTTTCGGCTCTCCTCGGCTCTTTCCGTCCCCCCTCGGGCCTTTCCGCCTCCCCTCGGGCCTTTTCCGTCCCCCTTCGGTCCTTTCCGCCGCCCCTCGGCCCTGTTCCCCCCGTTCCCCCGCTGCCATGGCCGGTGGTCGCCGCTCGCCGCCCGCTCGGTGCTGCCCGGGGCGGGTGGCCGTGCCCAGCGTGCACCAGAGCCTGCCCGAGATGGACTTCGAGCGGGGTCCGGGGGGCTCCGGGGGTTGGGGGGCAGCACTGCCGGGTTACCGGTACCGGCGGAGCTCAGAGGGGCTCTGGGCTGGGGTGCCCGGTACCGGAGGGGACCGAGCAGGGCCCGGGGGTTCCGGGGCTTCGTCCCGGTCTGAGCCGGCCCCGCTGTTGGCAGGGATCTGGGCGGCGGCGCGGGACGGGGACGAGGCTCGGGTGCTGCAGCTGCTGGAGCGGCGCGGGGACCCCGCGGAGCCCGACCTGGCGGGGTACACGGCCCTGGTACGGGGGTACCGGGGTTACCGGGGGTCTTTGGGGTCCTGACCTGGCGGGGTACACGTCCCTGGTACGGGGGTACCGGGGATACCGGGGGTCTTTGGGGTCCTGACCTGGCACGGGGGTCCCGGGGGTCTTTGGGTTCCCACCCTAGCGGGGTACACGGCCCTGAAACGGGGGTGTTTGGGGTCCTGGGTGTTGGGGGTCTTTGGGGTTCTGACCTGGCGGGTACACGGCCCTGGCACGGAGGTCCCGGGGTTCCCGGGGGTCCCAGCCTGGCCCGGGAGTCCCGGAGGTCCCGGGGATCCCAGCCTGGCCCGGGTGTCCCAGCCTGGCACGGGGGTCCCGGGTGTCCCAGGGTGGCCCGGGGGTCCCAGCCTGGCACGGGGGTCCCGGGTGTCCCAGCCTGGCCCGGGGGTCCCGGAGGTCCCGGGCGTCCCGGGTGTCCCAGCCTGGCACGGGGGTCCCGGGGGTCGCAGCCTGGCACGGGGGTCCCGGCCCGCAGCACTACGCCAGCCGGAACGGGCACCTGGCGGTGTGCCGGCTGCTGCTGGAGCGGGGGGCTCCGTGCGACGCCCGCACCCCCGGCGGGGCCACCCCGCTGCACCGCGCCTGCTACTGCGGCCACCGCGCCGTCACCGAGCTGCTGCTGGCGCACGGCGCCGACCCCGCGGCCGCCGACGACGACGGCAGAACCGGCCTGCACAAGGTGGGAGCGCGGGGCACCGGGGGGGGGTGGGGGGGGCTCGGGGGGGTGTCCCCGTGTGCCCCGGGGGTGACATCGCTGTCGCCAGGCGGCGGAGCAGGGGCACCGCGAGCTCTGCGCGCTCCTCCTGCGGCAGCGGCCGGCGCTCGCTGCGCTCCGCGATGCGCGGGGCCGGAGCCCGCGGGACGGGGCGCACCCGGCCGTCAGGGACCTGCTGGACGCCTGAGGGGACGGGGCCACGCCTACTCCGCCGTGCTCCGAGCCAATCGCGTCCCGCCTCTCCTCTTCGGCCCGCCCCCCTCTCCACCGCAGCCAATCGCGCGCTGCGCCGCCTCAGGGAAGGCAGCCAATCACCGGCCGCGGGGGGCGGAGCCTCGCGGTATAAACCACGGAGGGCGGAGCGAGGATTTAAAGGCGCCGCGTCTTTTAAATGAGCTCCGGTAACCGGAGCCCCTCCACCGGTAACCGGAGCCCTCCCCTGGTAACCGGAGCCACTCCCCCGGTAACCGGAGCCCCTCCACCGGTAACCGGAGCCCTCCCCTGGTAACCGGAGCCACTCCCCCGGTAACCGGAGCCCTTCCCCCGGTAACCGGAGCCCTCCCCCGGTAACCGGAGCCCCTCCCCCGGTAACCGGAGCCCCGCCCCCCGCGCAGCACCGACACCCAGCACAGATATAGAATTTTTATTAACCCATCTGGCAAAAAAGCCCCCTGAAAAAACCCCATGAAATAAAAATTCCACGGTCGGTTTCACAACCGAGGGGGGGAGGGGGAAGGGCAGAACCGGGAGGGGGAGGCCCGGCCCCCCCCGCCCCCCCCCCCTCGGCCCGCGCTCCCCCCAAAAAAATACAAATCAAACCTGAACAATAAATAGGAATTCCCGTGGTGGGGGGGGAAGGAAAAGGAAGGGGTTTGCATAGAGGAAGATTTAATAAAAAAAGTTGTTTTTTTGTTGCTTTTTTTTGTTTGTTTCTCGTTTTTTTTTTTGTTTTTTTTTTTTGTTTTTTTTCTGGCTTATTATTAATTATTAATTATTATTATTATTAATTATTATTATTATTTCTAAAATCTCCCCGCGGAAGGACCTAGGAACTGATCGTCGAGATGTGATTAAGAAAAAATAATTCAACCTTCTCCCAATAACTTACAGGAGTTCACCCCGGGGGGAACTTTTTGTGCTTATTTTTGTTTTTTTTGGGGGGGGGTCAGGGTCTCTCTCCCCCTCCCCCCAGCCCGGGGGGGGGGTCCCGGGGGGGTTTTGGGGGGACCCTCAGCCCCCTCCTTCCTGTACAACTTTGGTCACTAGCGCTGTCACCCCAAAACCGACCCTGAGACGCCCCCGGGATTTGGGGGGAGGGGAGGGGGGGAGGGGAAGGCACCGGACCCTCCCCCCTGCCCCCCCACCCCCCTCCAAGGGGACCCCTGAACTCTGGGACCCCCCCTGGGGGTCCCCAACTCTGTCCCCGCGTCCCCTGGAGCCCCCGGGCCAGCGGGGAAAGGGGGGTGGGCACGGGGAAGGGGCCGGGATTTATCCCAGAGGATCCCAAAATCACCGGAGAGGGGCTGGAATTTATCCCAGGAGATCCCAAAATCACCGGAGAGGGGCTGGGATTTATCCCAGGAGATCCCAAAAACTCCAGAGAGAGGCTGGGATTTATCCCAGGGATCCCGAAGTGGTGTAGGAGATCCCAAAGGGATGGAATTCCCAGGCCAGGATGGTGTAGGAGCCCTGAGGGGCTGGGATTTCCATCCCAGGGATCCCAGCAGGATTGGGATCCCCATCCTGGATCTCCGGCAGGGTTGGGATCTCCATCCCGGATCTCCGGCAGGATTTGGATCCCTATCCCGGATCTCCAGCAGGGTTGGGATCTCCATTCCCAGCAGGATTGGGATCTTCATCCCAGATCTCCGGCAGGGTTGGGATCTCCATCCCGGATCTCCGGCAGGATTTGGATCCCTATCCCGGATCTCCAGCAGGGTTGGGATCTCCATTCCCACCAGGATTGGGATCTTCATCCCAGATCTCCGGCAGGGTTGGGATCTCCATCCCGGATCTCCGGCAGGATTTGGATCCCTATCCTGGATCTCCAGCAGGATTGGGATCTCCATCCCAGATTTCCTGGGAGGATTGGGATCTCCATCCCGGATCTCCAGCAGGATTGGGATCTCCATCCCGGATTTCCTGGGAGGATTGGGATCTCCATCCCGGATTTCCCAGCAGGGTTGGGATCCCCATCCCGGGGCTCCCCAGGGCGGCAGCCCCGAACCCGAAGCTCCCTGAGCCGTCGGCGCCGCGCCGGCGGAGATGGCGCCGCTCCCGTCCATGCCGGGGGCGACGCGGCCGGGAACGATTCCCGGCTCCGGCCGCTCCCTCGCGGCTCTCCGGGCTCAGATGGAATTCTCCAGGCCGCTGTGGTTGCTCCGGCGGCTCAGGCAGTTCCTCTCGTTGAGCAAACTGGTGGTTTCGTCCGCCGGCGCCGGCGGCTCCGGCCGCTCCGGGATCCCCGGCTCCGCTTTGGGGGCGGCGCTGTCGGGGGACTGGGGACAGCTGTCCATGCGCGAGGCCAGCAGCCCGTTCTGGTACTCCTGACGCGTGATCTGCCCCGGGAACAGCGCGGGATGCGGCGGGACAGCCCGAACGGGGCGGGGGGTCCCAGCCCAGGATGGTGGGAGATCCCAAAGGGTCGGAATTCCCAGCCCAGGATGGATAGCAGACCCCAAAATGCTGGAATTCCCATTCCAGGATGGACAGGACACCCCAAAATGACCCAGGATGGACAGGACACCCCGAAACACCGGAATTCCCATCCCAGGATGGTGCAGGACACCCCAAAATGACCCAGGATGGACAGGACACCCCAAAATGTTGGAATTCCCATCCCAGGATGGACAGGACACCCCAAAACACCGGAATTCCCATTCCAGGATGGGCAGGACACCCCAAAATGCTGGAATTCCCACCCCAAAATTGTGTGGAGACCCCAAAACACCGGAATTCCCATCCCAGGATAGACAAGACTGGCCGAAACACCAGAATTCCCATCACAGGATGGACAGGACACCCCAATACACCGGAATTCCCATTCCAGGATGGGCAGGACAGCCCAAATTGCTGGAATTCCCACCCCAAAATGGTGTGGAGACCCCAAAACACCGGAATTCCCCTTCCAGGATGGGCAGGACACCCCAAAATGCTGGAATTCCCACCCCAAAATGGTGTGGAGACCCCAAAACACCGGAATTCCCATCCCAGGTTGGACAGGACACCCCAAAACACCGGAATTCCCATCCCAGGTTGGACAGGACACCCCAAAACACTGGAATTCCCATCCCAGGATAGACAAGACACCCCGAAACACCAGAATTCCCATCACAGGATGGACAGGACACCCCAAAACACCGAAATTCCCATCCCAGGATGGACAGGACACCCCAAAACACCGGAATTCCCATCCCAGGTTGGACAGGACACCCCAAAACACCGGAATTCCCATCCCAGGATGGACAGGACACCCCAAAATGTTGGAATTCCCATCCCAGGATGGACAGCACACCCCAAAATGACCCAGGATGGACAGGACACCCCAAAGTGCCGGAATTCCCATCCCAGGATGGACAGGACACCCCAAAACACCGGAATTCCCATTCCAGGATGGACAGGACACCCCAAAATGACCCAGGATGGACAGGACACCCCAAAATGTTGGAATTCCCACCCCAGGATGGACAGCACACCCCAAAATGTTGGAATTCCCATCCCAGGATGGTGCAGGACACCCCAAAATGACCCAGGATGGACAGGACACCCCAAAACACCGGAATTCCCATCCCAGGACGGACAGCACACCCCAAAACACTGTAATTCCCACCCCAGGACTCTCCAACACCCCTCAACTCCCCCCAAACCCACCCCGCCACACCCCAACCCACCGGGAAAAAAAAAAACCCCCACCCCGGCGCATTTCCCCATCCCAATTCCCGCGGGGAACGCTGACCTTGACGAACTGGAGGTCGCTGAGGGCGCGGACGCTGAAATCGGCCACGTACTGCGCGCCGCCGCCGCCGCTCAGCGCGTTGTTGCTGCCGCCGAGCGGCGACGATCCCGAATCCGAGCGCTCGGGGTAGCTCAGGGACGCCGAGCGGTTCAGGCCGCTGGCGTGGGACGGGGAACGGATCTCTGCGGGGGTTGTTTTTTGGGAATGGTTGGGCTTGGTTCTCATTTTTGGGAAGGTTTTTCCTTTCGGGAAGGTTTTTGGGGTTGGTTCTCATTTTTGGGAAGGTTTTTGGGGTCGTTTCTCATTTTTGGGAATGTTTTTGGGGTAGGTTTCGCTTTTTGGGAAGGTTTTTGGGGTTGTTTCTCTTTTTTGGGAAGGTTTTTGGGGTCGTTTCTCCTTTTTGGGAAGGTTTTTCCTTTTGGGAAGGTTTCTGGGGTCGTTTCTCATTTTGGGAAGGTTTTTGGTGTTGTTTCTCATTTTGGGAAGGTTTTTGGGGTCGTTTCTCTTTTTGGGAAGGTTTTTGGGGTCGGTTTCGCTTTTTGGGAAGGTTTTTGGGGTCGTTTCTCATTTTTGGGTAGGTTTTTCCTTTTGGGAAGGTTTTTGGGGTCGGTTTCTCTTTTTGGGAAGGTTTTTGGGGTCGTTTCTCCTTTTTGGGAAGGTTTTTGGGTTTTTTTCTCCTTTTTGGGAAGGTTTTTGGGGTCGGTTTCTCTTTTTGGGAAGGTTTTTGGGGTCGTTTCTCCTTTTTGGGAAGGTTTTTGGGTTTTTTTCTCCTTTTTGGGAAGGTTTTTGGGGTCGGTTTCTCTTTTTGGGAAGGTTTTTGGGGTCGTTTCTCCTTTTTGGGAAGGTTTTTGGGTTTTTTTCTCCTTTTTGGGAAGGTTTTTGGGGTCGGTTTCTCTTTTTGGGAAGGTTTTTGGGGTCGTTTCTCCTTTTGGGAAGGTTTTTGGGGTTGTTCTCCGTGGGGATTCCCAAATTCCCGCATCCCGAAACTCGGGAGAGACCGACCCCCACGGAGTTGTGGAGGCTTGGGGGGTGATGGAGGGAGGGGGTGGTTGGGGATTCTCTTGGGATTTTGGGATTCCCTTGGGATTTTGGGATTCTCTTGGGATTCTGGGATTCTCTCAGGATTTTGGGATTCTCTCAGGATTTTTGGATTCCCTTGGGATTTTGGGATTCCCTCGGGTTTCTGGGACTCCCTTGGGGTTTTGGGATTCTCTCAATTCTCTCGGGTTTATGGGATTCCCTTGGGGTTCTGGGATTCTCTTGGGTTTTTGGGATTCTCTCGGGTTTATGGGATTCCTTGGGCTTCCCTTGGGATTCCCTTGGGATTTTGGGATTCCCTTGGGATTTTGGGATTCTCTTGGGATTCTGGGATTCCCTTGGGATTTTGGGATTCCCTCGGGTTTATGGGATTCCCTTGGGGTTCTGGGATTCTCTCGGTTTTATGGGATTCCCTTGTGATTTTGGGATTCTCTTGGGTTTATGGGATTCTCTCGGGGTTCTGGGATTCTCTTGGGATTTTGAGATTCCCTCAGGACTCTGGGATTCCCTTGGGTTTCTGGGATTACCTCGGGTTTATGGAATTCGTTCGGGTTTATGGGATTTCCTTGGGTTTCTGGGACTCCCTTGGGGTTTTGGGATTCTCTCAATTCTCTCGGGTTTATGGGATTCCCTTGGGGTTCTGGGATTCTCTTGGGTTTTTGGGATTCTCTCGGGTTTATGGGATTCCCTTGGGATTTTGGGATTCTCTCAATTCTCTTGGGATTATGGGACTCTCTTGGGATTCTGGGATTACCTTGGGTTTCTGGGATTCTCTCGGGTTTCTGGGATTCCCTCGGGTTTCTGGGATTCTCTCAATTCTCTTGCAATTATGGGACTCTCTTGGGATTTTGGGATTCCCTCGGGTTTCTGGGATTCTCTCGGTTTTATGGGATTCTCTTGGGGTTTGGGGATTCCCTTGGGATTTTGGGATTCCCTCAGGTTTTTGGGATTCCCTTGGGGTTCTGGGATTCCCCGGCTGTCCCCGGATCACCGATGGGATTCCGCACCCTCCCTCTCCCGGTGGCTGTGACTCCCGCGGGGGTCCCGGGGCGGCTCCGGGGGCGCTCACCGGATCCCGGCGGGGGGCTCAGAGCCATCACCCCGTAGTAGGAGAACGCTCCCGCCTCGAACTTCATGCACTCCTTGCCAGCCTCCACCTCCACCTTGCCCTGCCGGGAGAACGGAGATGGAGCCCGAGCCCGCGGGGATCAGATCCCGTGGGGATCCCCGGCTCTGGCAGGGATCAGATCCCAGCAGGATCCCCGGCTCCGGATCCCGCGGGGATCAGATCCCGTGGGGATCCCCGGCTCTGGCAGGGATCAGATCCCAGCAGGATCCCCGGCTCCGGATCCCGCGGGGATCAGATCCCGTGGGGATCCCCAGTCCCGGATCCCTCAGGAATGCAATCCCAGCAGGATGCCCAGCCCCAGATCCCGCGGGGATCAGATCCCATGGGGATCCCCAGCCCCAGATCCCCCAGGGATGCGATCCCAGCAGGATCCCCAGCCCCAGATCCCTCAGGCATGCGATCCCAGCGGGATCCCCAGCTCCAGATCCCCCAGGGATGCGATCCCGTCGGGATCCCTGGCCCCAGATCCCCCAGGGATGCGATCCCAGCAGGATCCCCAGCTCCAGATCCCCCAGGGATGCGATCCCGGCGGGATCCCTGGCCCCAGATCCCTCAGTAATGCGATCCCGTGGGGATCCCCAGCCCCAGATCCCTCAGGAATGCGATCCCAGCAGGATCCCCAGCCCCAGATCCCTCAGGAATGCGATCCCAGCAGGATCCCCAGCCCCAGATCCCTCAGGAATGCGATCCCAGCAGGATCCCCAGCCCCAGATCCCTCAGGAATGCGATCCCAGCAGGATCCCCAGCCCCAGATCCCTCAGGAATGCGATCCCAGCAGGATCCCCAGCCCCAGATCCCGCGGGGATCAGATCCCGTGGGGATCCCCAGCCCCAGATCCCGCGGGGATCAGATCCCGTGGGGATCCCCAGCCCCAGATCCCGCGGGGATCAGATCCCGTGGGGATCCCCAGCCCCAGATCCCTCAGGAATGCGATCCCGTGGGGATCCCCAGCCCCAGATCCCGCGGGGATCAGATCCCGTGGGGATCCCCGGCCCCAGATCCCGCGGGGATCAGATCCCGTGGGGATCCCCGGCCGCAGCACCTGCAGGATGAGGATGAAGTAGTCGGCCGGTTTGTTCTTGCAGTACAGGAAGTGCCGCGGCGATTTCTTGTTCTCCTCGTCGAACTTCAGCTCCTGGATGACGTCGGAGTATTTCAGGAGCCGCAGCAGGATCTTCTCCGAGATGAAGTTGGGGGTGAAGAGCGTCACCTCTGGAGAGGGGGGAAAGGGTCAGGGGTGGGTCTAAGCCCTCCAGGAGAAGGTGAATTCCCATCTGGAATGGTCTAGGAGACCCCTCGGGATGGAATTCCCATCCCGGAATGGTCCAGGAGACCCCTGGGGATGGAATTCGCATCCTGGGATGGTCTAGGAGAGCCTTGGGACCTGAATTCCCATCCTGGGATGTTCTAGGAGAGCCTTGGGACCTGAATTCCCATCTGGAATGGTCTAGGAGACCCCTCGGGATGGAATTCCCATCCCGGAATGGTCCAGGAGACCCCTGGGGATGGAATTCGCATCCTGGGATGGTCTAGGAGATCCTTGAGGATGGAATTTCCATCTTGGGATGGTCTAGGAGACCTTTGGGACCAGAATTCCCATCCTGGGATGGTCTAGGAGACCCCTGGGGATGGAATTCCCATCTTGGGATGGTCCAGGAGACCCCTGGGGATGGAATTCCCATCTTGGAATGTTCTAGGAGAGCCTTGGGACCTGAATTCCCATCCTGGGATGTTCTAGGAGAGCCTTGGGACCTGAATTCCCATCTGGAATGGTCTAGGAGACCCCTCGGGATGGAATTCCCATCCCGGAATGGTCCAGGAGACCCCTGGGGATGGAATTCGCATCCTGGGATGGTCTAGGAGAGCCTTGGGACCTGAATTCCCATCCTGGGATGGTCTAGGAGACCCCTGGGGATGGAATTCCCATCTTGGGATGGTCCAGGAGACCCCTGGGGATGGAATTCGCATCCTGGGATGGTCTAGGAGATCCTTGAGGATGGAATTTCCATCTTGGGATGGTCTAGGAGACCTTTGGGACCAGAATTCCCATCCTGGGATGGTCTAGGAGACCCCTGGGGATGGAATTCCCATCTTGGGATGGTCCAGGAGACCCCTGGGGATGGAATTCCCATCTTGGAATGTTCTAGGAGAGCCTTGGGACCTGAATTCCCATCCTGGGATGGTCTAGGAGGTCCCTGGGGATGGAATTCCCATCCCGGGATGGTCCAGGAGACCCCTGGGGATGGAATTCCCATCCTGGGATGGTCTAGGAGACCCTTGGGACCGGAATTCCCATCCTGGGATGGTCTAGGACACCCCTGGGGATGGAATTCCCATCTTGGGATGGTCTAGGAGATCCTTGAGGATGGAATTTCCATCTTGGGATGGTCTAGGAGACCTTTGGGACCGGAATTCCCATCCTGGGATGGTCTAGGAGATCCTTGGGACCAGAATTCCCATCCTGGAATGGTCTAGGAGATCCTTGGGACCAGAATTCCCATCCTGGAATGGTCTGGGAGACCCCTGGGGATGGAATTCCCATCTTGGGATGGTCTAGGAGATCCCTGGGGACCAGAATTCCCATCCTGGAGAACTCCAACCTTCCAGCATGTCCATCCCAGAGGTCCCAAATAATCCACGGAGACCCTTGGGACCTGTCACCCACCCCCAACCTTGTCCCCTCCCATCCTGGGCGACGGAGAACACAACAAAAAAAAAAACCGGGACAAGAACCAAAACTCCCACTTGGATCACCCGGAGGAGGAACCAGAACCCTCTGAGCTCCTCCGAGGTCACTCTGAGGTCCGAGTGACCGCACTGACCGGTGGACAGGAAGCGGTGGGCGGCCAGCAGGAGCTGAGGTGACACCTTGACCTTCAGCTCGTTGTCGGGGTCCTTGAAGGCCGAGAAGTCGCGCCGGTTCTTCTGGTTGCACACCCTCTTCCTGCTGCGGTTGTCGACTGCGAGGAACCGCGGGGTCACCACCGGCAGGACTACACCCCAAAAACGGGGTGTTGTTTTTTGGGACGGAGGGGAACACCGGGACCTACTGTAGGTGTCGGATTCGTCCAGGATCTCGGACTTGATGATCTCCTCGATGACGTCCTCCAGGGTCACCAGCCCCAGCACCTCGTAGAAGGGGTCGCCCTCGCCCTCGTTGTTCACCTTCTGCACGATGGCCAGGTGGGACTTCCCTGGGGGGAGGGTGGGTGGCATGGGACGCGGCCAGCACGCCGCGGGATTGTCACCGGGGGTGTCACCGGGGGGTCACCAGGGGGTCCCAGCCGCGGGATTGTCACCGGGGTGTCACCAGGGGGTCACCAGGGGGTCACCAGAGTGTCACCAGAGTGTCACCAGGGGTGTCACCAGGGGGTCACCAGGGGGTCCCAGCCGCGGGATTGTCACCGGGGTGTCACCAGGGGGTCACCAGCCATGGGATGTCCCCAGCCATGGGATTGTCAGCAGGGGGTCAGCAGGGGGTCATCAGGGGGTCACCAGAGTGTCACCAGGGTGTCACCAGGAGGTCACCAGGGTGTCACCGGGGTGTCACCAGAGTGTCACCAGGGGGTCAGCAGGGGGTCACCAGGGGGTCACCAGGGGGGTCATCAGGGGGTCACCAGGGAGTCACCAGCCATGGGATGTCCCCAGCCATGGGACTGTCACCAGGGGGTCACCAGGGGGTCACCAGCCATGGGATGTCCCCAGCCATGGGATTGTCACCAGGGGATCACCAGGGGGTCATCAGGGGGTCACCAGAGTGTCACCAGGGGGTCACCAGAGGGTCACCAGGGGGTCACCAGGGGTGTCACCAGCCATGGGATGTCCCCAGCCATGGGATTGTCACCAGAGTGTCACCAGAGGGTCACCAGGGGGTCATCAGGGGGTCACCAGAGGGTCACCAGGGGTGTCACCAGGGGGTCACCAGGGTGTCACCAGAGGGTCACCAGGGGTGTCACCAGAGTGTCACCAGAGTGTCACCAGGGGTGTCACCAGGGGGTCACCAGAGGGTCACCAGGGGGTCACCAGGGTGTCACCAGAGGGTCACCAGGGGTGTCACCAGAGTGTCACCAGAGTGTCACCAGGGTGTCACCAGAGGGTCACCAGGGGTGTCAGCGGGGGGTCACCAGAGTGTCACCAGAGTGTCACCAGAGTGTCACCAGGGGGTCACCAGGGGTGTCACCAGAGTGTCACCAGAGTGTCACCAGGGGGTCACCAGGGGGTCAGCAGGGGGGTCATCAGGGGGGGTCACCAGGGGTGTCACCAGGGGGTCACCAGCATGCCCCAGCCCTGGGATGTCCCCAGAATGGCCCCTGGATGTCCCCAACCATGGGATGTCCCCAGGATGTCCCCAGCCCTGGGATGTCCCCAGGATGTCCCCATGATGTCCCCACGAAGTCCCCAGGGTGTCCCCAGGATGTCCCAGCCCTGGGATGTCCCCTGGATGTCCCCAGGATGTCCCAGCCCTGGGATGTCCCCAGGCTGTCCCCAGGCTGTCCCCAGGATGTCCCCAGGATGTCCCCAGCCCTGGGATGTCCCCAGAATGTCCCCTGGATGTCCCCAGGCTGTCCCCAGGATGTCCCCAGCCCTGGGCTGTCCCCAGAATGTCCCCAGAATGTCCCCAGGCTGTCCCCAGGATGTCCCCAGCCCTGGGCTGTCCCCAGAATGTCCCCAGAATGTCCCCAGGCTGTCCCCAGGATGTCCCCAGCCCTGGGCTGTCCCCAGAATGTCCCCAGAATGTCCCCAGGCTGTCCCCTGGATGTCCCCAGCCCTGGGCTGTCCCACCCCACCCCATCCCATCCCTGGAGCAATAAACTCATTAAAACCCCACCCATCCCTTGGGCAGGGCGCTCACTGCCAGGGTAATGACACTAATTAACCCCAGGTTAACGGCACTAATTAACCCCGTTAGTGGCACTAATTAACCCCGTTAATGGCACTAATTAACCCCCTCAGGGCTGGGGCAGAGGAGGCTGAAGGCACCTCGGGGTGTGGGATGGGCCCGGCATTCCCGGGATGTCCCCGTGGAATTGGGGTTCCCCCATCCCTGTCCCATCCCCCAGGGAACGTTCTGGAACACCTGGAGCCCCCAAAACGTCCCAGGGGAGGCTCCTGGAGGGCAGGAGAACCTTCTGGAACCCTCAAAACGTCCCAGGGGAGGCTCCTGGATGGCAGGAGAACCTTCTGGAACCCTCAAAACGTCCCAGGGGAGGCTCCTGGATGGCAGGAGAACCTTCTGGAACCATCCCAAACCTGACCCAACCCCCAGAACGTCCCAGGGCAGGTTCTTGGAGGGCAGGAGAACCTTCTGGAACCCCTAAAACGTCCCAGGGGAGGCTCCTGGATGGCAGGAGAACCTTCTGGAACCCCCAAAACGTCCCAGGAGAGGCTCCTGGATGGCAGGAGAACCTTCTGGAACCCTCAAAACGTCCCAGGGGAGGCTCCTGGAGGGCAGGAGAACCTTCTGGAACCATCCCAAACCTGATCCAACCCCCAGAACGTCCCAGGGCAGGTTCTTGGAGGGCAGGAGAACCTTCTGGAACCCCTAAAACATCCCAGGGAAGGCTCCTGGAGGGCAGGAGAACCTTCTGGAACCCCTAAAACATCCCAGGGGAGGCTCTTGGAGGGCAGGAGAACCTTCTGGAACCCTCAAAAAATTTTCTGGGGATTCCAGAAAAATTTTCTGGGAATTCCATCCCAAAAAATCCCATTGAAATCTCCATTTTTCCAACTGAAGCCATTCCCTGTGTCCTGTCCCTCCTGGCGATGGAGCAGCCACAGATCCTCTGGGAATTCCATCCCAAACATCTGGGAATTCCATCCCAAAAAAAATCTGGGAATTCCATCCCAAAAATCTGGGAATTCCACCCCAAAAAATCCCACTGAAATCCCCATTTTTCCAACTGAAGCCACACAGATCCTCTGGGAATTCCATCCCAAAAAATCTGGGAATTCCATCCCCAAAAAAATCTGGGAATTCCATCCCAAAAAATCTGGGAATTCCATCCCCAAAAAAATCTGGGAATTCCATCCCAAAAAATCTGGGAATTCCATCCCAAAAAATC